TTTTAAGATTGATTTTGTCTTTCTCTCTCTCTCTCTCTCTCTCTCTCTCTCTCTCTCTCTCTCTCTGTGTGTGTGTGTGTGTGTGTGTGTGTGCGTGTGAGCGTGTGTGTGTGGAAGCCCATGTGGGAGAATGCCTGCCAAGTGCAGAAGGGGGCTTTTGATCCCCTACAACTATAGTCATAGCCAATTGTGATTTTCCCAGCATAGTTCTTAGGACAGTTCCTAAGTCTTGGATAGTCTGCAAGAGTAGCAAGTGCTGACGTATCTGTCTAGCCCCAAGATACTCTTTTATTATCTGTGTGATCCATATAAAGAAAGAATAATTCAAGATATATTACTATATATATATATATACACACACACACATTTTTTTTGCACCCACTTCAAAGTCAGGTCCCTATCACTTCCTAGTGGACAGAAAAAATAACCTGATGATCACATAAATTATTAAGGGCTGATAATGGAAACAGTAACCCTTGAATGAGGTAAATGGTAAAATCAACTCCATGTGGCCTCATGAAATTCAACATGTAGTCAATTGCACTTATGCATAGCAGTCAAGTGTGACAGGAAATCCTCCAATTCGGTAAGGAATGAAACAGCTTCAAGGAAAAAGACAAGGGATGGAGAAGGAGGTTGGAACAGGTGCAAAGAAACCCGGGATATAGGGAGTGAGAGCTTGAAGGTGACACTCCCCTGACGGCTGGAGAGTGGCACGGGATGGTTGCTCCCTTTGCTCAGATGCACAGCACTGGTGCACACAATGGGAACACTCCAAGGCTACACAGGAAACACTCTGGTGCTTCAGGCATGCTATCATTTACTGACAGGAAATGGTTTATAAAATATGCCTGCCAGATGCTGAGTCTACTAAACCAATTTTAATTTAAAGTGACAAACAGCAAGGCACAGAGCTGCTAGGCAACAAACCCAGACATAACTATTAGCTCTATGCAATCATTAATGTCATCTGATGATTCATGCCACAGCATGCTAACCCATTAACAAATATCAAGCCTGCATGCCCGGAGTTGGGACAAAGTTCTGCTTTCATCCCCAGCTCGGCAACAGTAAGACCTCTTCATCTGCATTTGCACTGTTCTTTGTTCTTGATGTGTACATAACAGAAGTGGTCCTTTGTGATAGACAAGTAGCTGTCTGGCTGAGGAGATGGCTCAGTGGGCAAAGCTCTCACTGGGCATGCTCCCCGTGAGTGGGGGCTCAAGTCGGGGTCTCCAGAAGCCACATATGGTGAATGTAATAGCACTTCTCTGCCATCCAAGCTTACCTACTGTGAGGCGAGAGATGGCAACAAAAGACCCAGATGCTCACTGGTGAGCTAGCCTGGGGTATGCAGTGGTGAACAAGAGACCCTGACTCAAACAAAACAGAAGGTGATTACTAGCACATAACGTTGTCCTCTGACCTTCACGCACATGCAGTGGCATGCATGTGTCTCCTGCAGACAGAAAGACAGACAGATACACCCACGCACATGTACACACTGATTAGAAAAATAACTAAGAACATCAACTTACAGAATAATTCATGAATTCACTGGATTGTTTCCTGAGGAACCAAGTCTAATGCGTGTGTGATTCATGTAAGGATTTGTGTGAGATCAGTACTCTGGAGGCCTGTTGCTTTCTTCATGAATTGATCCCTCAAAGCCCCTTATTCAAACGTAATATACCCACCCATTGGCCCATTGGGAACAATGGTCCTGCAGGTGACCCTCCAGGTCACTAACTTGAGGTGAGATAATGAGCCTGGGCCTTGACCCACCATCATCTCTACCGAGAAAGAAAAGCTATGTCCTAGGCTCTGTATCCACCACTAAGTGCCACTAACTAGAGAAGCACACATTGAACACACAGCTAAAGAAGGGAGGAGCTGAGAACAATTACAGAATTGTATGTGGTTACAGCATGAACCTGTCATAAAATATGGCCGGTCATGTATACTGCCAGGCCATGGGTTAAACCCCATCACATCTGGAAAATGTCTTCGATTACATAATGACACACACAAGAGACACTATAACACTGCCACTGTGTCTAAGAACTCACCTTTGGGAGGGCTCCCTCACCAATGGCAGAAGTTTCATCTGCAAAAACACCTTCTTTATTGGCCTACTTTGCACTTTATTAGGGAAAGGAGCAGATGTGAGCATGTGAATTATATATGTCTTCAACCTTCTTTCATAGGGAACCTAGGGTATGGCTTCTCTGTAGGAGCCATCCTTTCGGTCAGCAGCCGTCTTGTAAACCAACCTTCCGTTGTTAGCCATAGAAATCTCAGAGGAATTAGCACACCAATGATTTAAAAATTAACATCTGACCATGGAAAACATAATGTAACACCCCAGTTATTTACACCTATAAGAGAGAACTGTCGACACGGGATAGGAAAAGACAACATTATGAATGGAAATGTTTTAAATTTGAGGGCTGGAGAGGAAGCTCTGCAGCTAAGAGCAAGAAGTACTCTTACAGAGGACCTGAAATCAGTGCCTTGTTACTGTCTATGACTCCAGCTTAAGGGGCTCCAACGCCCTCCTATGCCCTCCACAGGCATGGCACTCATGTGCACACACCCACACACAGATACACACACATAACTAAGATAAGTATTTCTAAGTTTAAAAGTCTAACATTATAGTTTGGATTACCATGTAAATCATTATATGACCATTTCACTGTCAACCACGCCCAAAGATGTGTTCTTCAACCCCGAGGACTTTACAAAGACGTGAACGAAGCTATATAAACAACCACTACTAGCAATGCCTTCAAAACTAAAGTTTGAAGTGTGAAAGGCCATCAAAATAGTTCAATGATCCCAGATTATCATGTAATTATCTGCTATCTATGCCCCCTCCCTGGCAGATTTCTATTAGTTCTTTGACTATAATTGTAGCTGACCTTTTAAAGGCCGTTTAAGCTCTACATAAGAAACCTGATTATAGTGGGAAATATCCCCACAAAAGCAGGATGGGAAACCAACTGCTATTTATTGTACATATAATTATCTTCTCTTTCAGCCCAGGATAGAGTTCGGACTCTTGTGTAACTCAAATTTCTGTGAGATTGTCATCTGATTTACAACTGGTGACCTAGCATCACCTAGCAGCGTATGAAAATAATTTACTGTGTCTTCTGTGGCCCATCATGGAAATCAATAGCTTGAATATAGAGACGTCTCAATTAGATAGTGCAAAGAGTGAGCCCCACCCCCTTCTTTCCTGCATCATTAAAATGGTAAGTATTCCACTGCAGTGCTTCATGTTGAACTGGAGAGCCTCTGTTATTACTGGCTCACATGCAGTGACACTCACACAGAGGAGAGAAGAAGTAAGGCTAAAGGGGTATAAGTTAAGGCATGAGAGGGGAGGGCCATGGAAATGTTAAAGTATTTATTGATGCTTTTCTATACCACCTGAGTAATTTCGTGAGTTTGACAGAGTATTAAATTATAGTGATGAATACATATGAGTCATCAATCCTTGCTGCCGTGTTCTTTGAAGCCCCCAAACCAAGGACATGAGCAGCCACGGTATGTGTTAGCTAGCACAGCAAGAAACGATCTCAAGGCTGAACTGAGATCTCTCTCTGCAAAAAAAAAAAAAAAAACTCAGGGCGGGGACTGGGGGAGACTGCTCAGTAGGTAAAGCAATTGCTGTCAAAGTGTAAGAAGCTGAGTTCAAACCCCCCAGAACCCAAATAAAGGCAGACAACAGAGCCAATGAGGGTGCATTCCTAGTGCCCCCATGGGGAAACGGAAGGCAGGAACAAGAGAATTCTAGAAATCCTACAGACCAGCCAGCCTGGTGTACATGGGAGGGGAAAAGCAATGAGAGATGCTGTCTCAAAAAGGTGAGAAACAAGGCCTACCACATAAAGGTGTCCTCTGACTCACACGTGTGCCAAGGCATGTGAGGGAAAGACCAACACAGAGGGAAAGAGGGAGGAGGAGAAGGAAATAGCCGACTGTTATACAGATCTTCATGATAGAGACATAGGTACCCACACTGCATCTAAGAACATTATCATTTTAGGACAACTTGTCAAGTATGTCACAGCCTAGGGTGACCTCAGTATAGGAACATGGAATAAAACAGTGTTCCAGTCAAATTAAGGAAAGTGGATTGTCCCTCATGGGACAACTGAACCTGGACTCAGGACTTCAATGCACAATTGTGTTTTCTCCTTCAGCACTCAATAGATTTTAAGACAGGAAATTGTGCCATCACTGGGCCCTCTATTAACGGATGAGAATTAAAAACTTCTGACTGTATTAAAATGAGGTCTAAGATGGGCTTCCATTTTGAAAACCTTCTTTTCAAATTGTAGTTATGTCTTTCTTAAAAATTTGATTTTTAATTAAGTAAGTGTGTGTGTGCGTGTGTTGTTGGAGATGCTCATGTGAGTAAAGGTGCCCAAGGAAGCCAAAGGAGGGCAGTGGGTCCCCTCAAGCTGGAGTTACAGGAAATTTTTAGCTCCTGCTTAATGTGAGTGCTAAAAACTGAATTTGGGTCCTCTGCAAGAACAGTATACATTTTTAAAACCTGCCCCAAGCAATCTCATTTTTGAAAGAAATAAACCCATTACTTTTTATTTTTGGTTACCTAGGAAAAAAATTTACCAACTAATTAGATTCCCATGATGAAACAGTACTGAGACCACCATCAGAATCCTGTTGTCCTAGCTGGCTGTATACAGGCATACCTACAGACCAGTCCATGGAAAATCCACTGAGCAACACTTTGGGAAGGCATCAGAGAAGAAAAGACAACCACCTTTAACAAACCTCAACTGGTAGGTCAAAATCCAGAGGATTATCCAGGCTGTGAAGGGGATGGTTTGGCCAGAATAGAATGTCGGAATTGTTGGAACGCTCTCTGAAGGCAGCAAAAGCTTGCATTCAGAAAGTCAGTCCGAGGTGTGACTGTTCAGAGGGGGAGAGAGCTCAGGAGCAGCGTGCTCACTGAGCGACAGTACCTGGAGAACTGCAGCTGCAGGCCACGCATCTGGATCCTGTTGCGCTCCGACTCCAGGGTCACCTCCCGCAACCGCTCCTCGCTCTGTAGCCGTAAGTGTCGCTCCTCTTCCAACTCATGTATCAGCTTCTCATGCTACGAAACACACAAAGGCATGGCCTTCAGAAGGTGCCCAGACAAGACACAAGGAGAGCTGCTGGTTCTTAAGTGCTAATCTGAGCTTCATAGACACAGCTACTAGTCTAGCGACATAAAATGTACATGAACACACTGAGGCACACACACACATGAAATGATGGTAACAATTTTGTGAGGCAAATTCTGTTATTAATCTCTTGTTGTATACCAAGAAGCAAAAGATCAAAGTTCTACACATGTATTCAAGAACATAAAAACCCTGGTCTAGAGGAAAGGCTTGGTAGATAAAAGGTTTGCCTTGCGAGTAAGCAGGGGACCTGAGTTCAGACCCCTAGCACCAACATAAAAGCTGTCATAGCCACAAACACTCATTAAAGCAGTGCTGGGAGCAGAGATAAGTGGACCTGGGGAGCTTGTGGATTGGGCATTCTAGCTGTAAAGGCAAAAATCTGTGTTAAGTGAGAGACTATGGATCAAAACCTACAGTGAAGAAGTGATGGGAACATACGTCAGTACCATCCTCTGACACCATATGGGTCCTCACGGGGTAAGCATAAACATGCTCAGGCTCACAGAAACCAGAAGGTGAAAGAATTTGAGTCCTGGATGGCATTGCTCTATTATTAAACTTTTTCCATTAAACTAAGTTGTCTTTTGTAACAAACTATGACCCCACAATCCCATCAAAGTCAAAGACATTCAGATATAGAACATCACTGTCTGTTCAAAATGACTTTATCTCTTCAATCTCTGGAATATCATTTAAAGGAAGTGTCACTGCTTGGATAGAAAGGCCAAGAATCTCAAGTCAGTTAGACCATAGCTTCTGAGACTGTGGGACAGAACTCCACATCCAGTCACTGACTGAATATGGGCGGGTGTTATGAAAGTTTGTAAAACGGTAAACATTTATGAATGCTCAACAACCAAATTACTTCAATATCAAATAAATAAAGAATCCACAGGACGTGTGGCAGCCCACATCCATGCTGAGTTTTAGCTTCCCTGCGGTCCTGGTTCTGAAGCCATGGCATGCACAGTGTGCACTGCACACACTGTCCTGACCTGCGGCACCAAGGGACACTGCCCGATCACATTGGCTCAGGCTAAAAGCTCCCTGATTTGCAAATGGCAGTGTTTCTTTGCACACACACTGTCTGCTGCTGTTACAGAAGCAAAATGCTTTAGTCACAGAGGACAGGGGTGTGTTCTGCCACTGTTTCTCAGCATGTGCTGACCAGTACATTTCTGCCCCAGACTATGCCAGGATGCTTAACTCTTGCCATCTAATGTCCTACAATAAGGGATTCAATGAATTATAGCTGGGGATTAGGAAAGAATTTCTAGAAATTACTGAAATGAATGCAGACATACTTTGTCATTTTATGCTGTGTATTAATGTAAAGCACCACACTCAGTATTGATCAATACAAAGCCAAAATATCTATCAATCCTGAAAACATTTTGTGTACGATGGTATTAGATATTTAGCCAGGAGTTTTAATTCTTTACATCAAAATAAACAAGGAAGTCCATTTCATGAGTATGAACATTTCCTTTCATTTTCAGGGGATACTTAAATTATATATACACTAAAGAATTGTTTTTTTAAAATAACTATGATTTATAGTCATTATCTCTTTTGTTTTATATACCTGTATATCTGTGTTCATACAAAAATATCTCAGTCAAAAGGTGACTTGATTTAAAAAAAAAGTCCAAAATGCCAAAGGTATCTCCATGTGATTATCAATCAACATCCACTGTACCTAGAAATGTCCTACCAATCACAGGTCCTTTTCACTCTTCCTATCTAAAATCTAAATCAATAACTGCTTTCTTCTCCTAGAAGTCATAAGACAGGCTGGGGAGATGGCTCAGTTATGAAAGGGCTTGCTTTGCATGCATGAGCAGCTGAGTTTGATCACTCAGGGACCATGGAAAAAAGAAGTTGGACAAAGTTGAGAGGCATAGACATGTAGGAGGAGGCTGTTTGTTGGTTCCCGACTGTCCAGACTTTGAAATAATCACACAGAAACTGTATTAATTAAATCAATGCCTGATCCATTATCTCTAGCTTCATATTAGCTAACTCTTACATATTAATTTAACCCATTTCTATTAATCTGTGCATCACCTACCAGCAAAGTTTCAATATGTCTGTCTCTGCTGGCAGCTCCATGGCTTCTCTCTGACTCTGCCTTCTTTCTCCCAGCATTCAGCCTAGCTTTCTCTGCCTAACTAAGTTCTACCTTGCTATAGGCCAAGCCAGTTTCTTTATTAATTAATGTTAATCACAGCACACAGAGGAAAAAACCCACATCACAGACAGGTAGATCCCTAAGAGTCACTGATCAGTCAGCCCAGCTCAACCAGAGTATCCCAGGCCAGTGTCAGTGCACGATTCTGTCTCAAAAAACAAGGTGGACAGCACCTAAGGAGCTACAGCCAAGGAATGGGTTCCTATCTTCACACATGCATGGAAGCACACATGTGCATATGCATGCACACACACATACATACAGAGAGAAAGAGAGTTCTATAAGTCAAATACATCAGTGTAGAAACTAAACTAATGTTTTCACAAAAAAGCTAGCTTTAATTTTAAAACTCTCTACAAATTTCTATCAAACCAATGTCAAATGGATCTAAATTAAGCTATAGTTACAGCATCTAATTGCAGTCCATTTTTGCTTTTCACACAAATTGCGATGTATTTTTCCCCCTAAGCCCTCTGAATTCAATATCTCCATTAGTTATGAAAGATTCGGTCATTCTAGAAGCTGAGATGCAGATAAAGAACTTCACATTGATTTTTTAAAGCACGCACTGTTGGCTGTAACAGAAGAATCAGAATCAGATTTTGTGATGCACAGATAGAAGCTGTACAGGATCTATCCACAGTGCTGATAACATCACCTGAGGGAGACACAGCTTTCAGTCTAACTAAAAAAAAACACAGAACATGACTTTTAAAGTGAGAGGAGGGACAAAAGGGTGACTTAGATAACAGAAATGAGAACAGGGAGCAGAGCTGGGGTAGGCAGGGATTTCAAGGTCAAAGAGGACAGATGAACGAGTGGATGCATCTCAAAGGTTTGCTTTGCCGAGGGGGAGCCCTACAGGAAAACCCACAGGTGAGTCGTACAATATGAATAACTTTCCTCAAGCAAAAGAAATCTCTGGGCAGGAAGATAACCAGGTGGATAAAGTACTTGTCCCCCAAGTGTGACGGTCAGAGCAAAGTGGCTAGTTATACTAGCCTGCTGAACAAGTTCTGGGGGTCAGTAAGGGGTTCCTTCCCAGGGAATACAGAGGCAAGCGGTGGAGGAAGACTCCAGACACAAAACTCTGCTCTCCACACTTAAGCACACATTTGTGCACACACAAAGTAATGACAACAGATGATTGCATTACACAAAGAGAAATGCTAATTTTCATTGTGTCTAGTCAATCATTCATTTTACTTATCAATTAGAATTCTGAATGAAGAGCAAAATGGTAGGTTTTAATTCATCATATAACATCATCACATCCATATACCATCATATAACTAGAAAAGTAGAAAATAAAATTATGTATGTAAAATAATGCATATTTTGAACATTACAAGCATCTAAATTCATGCAATAAAGAAAACATGAGGTTAATCGCCTAGGCTGTCACTTTGGTTTTCCCATGACTTTATTGTTCAGCCTTGGTGGATGGTATCAGAAACTTAAAAGGATCTAGAATCTCCCAGGAGACAAACTGGGCATATCTATAAAGGAATTTCTAGATTAGGTTAATATAGGTGGGAAAACGCATCCTGAAGGTGGATGACTACATCTCCTGGCTCTGGTCCTGAGCTGAATAGAAAGGAGAAAGTGAGCTGGGAAGCAACACTCAACTGTGTACATTCTGACTACAGGTGCATGTGATCAGGTAACTCACACTCCTACATCATGACTGGACACCATGACAGACTGTATACTTGAACTGTAAGCCAAGATAAACTTTTGCTTCCCTGAGTTGTTTTTTTGATATGGCCATAAGCGGGTAGGGAGACTCTGCACTTGGAAAATATACTTAGTCTGTACGGACCCACCTCTAAAGAGTTAAGCTTCTCTCCAGCTCTCATATTTTACACACCCCAAAACCCAGTCATAACACTAGCAGGAAAAATATAATTACTAATGATTCCAGGACTATCAAGAGAGGAAGCACAATCTTAACCAGATGATGTACTTGGGGTAGCACACACTAGGGTCAGGGTCAGTCAGGATGGGTGTCCCATGGCAATGATCAAAAGGGACTGACTTCCTGATTCAGGTCATTGGATGAGTGAGATGTATGGTTTTTCTTGGCCAATTCAGAGCAAGGAAAGGTATATGTTTAACAACATGACACGGTGAAGGGGAATGACAAAGCAGACTCTAGAGGGATAACAGGTCTATATGCGTTTTAAAGAGAAAAAAAAATCTTATTCATACTGAGACAAAGAATTCATTCTTGGTGTGAACCCTAGAAGTCAGAGACTACCACAGAAAGCAATGGCAGCTTCTGTCATTTGTGAGTGTCATTCATACACAACGGTGCCTCGTCCTGGGGAGAACTACTCTGTAGGGATTTCAGCTTCACAGTCTTTCTGACTTCAACAAGCTTCCAGAAAACCATTTCCTTATAAGAAGTCTAATACCTGATGATGATGATGATGATGATGATGATGATGATGATGATGATGATGATGATGATGGGACCAAACAAGGTAGTCAAGCCTTTGGCTAACAAAAAAACTGGGTGGTAAACCTGCAGTCTACTGCCAGCTGCCTAATTCAGACACGCTGTATTCACAGAGCAGTCTTTCCACTGATTTCACTTGGTCCAAAGGCTCATTTCTTAACCCAGTAAGTGCTTCATTTACTTAGCCAATGGGCTCTTTTATAAAGTCTGTGATACATTCTTCTACTTTAGTCACAGATATTTCTCTGTTGTCATGTTAATTGATCACAATTAAC